TTTTCAACCATTAGAATCTATGTATTTATCATTATTCATCAGCATTTATCATTATTTATCATTATTTATCATCATTATTTATCACTATTATTTATCATTATTATTTATCATTATTATTTATGTTTATTAATTATCATTATTTATCATTATTTATCATAATTATTTATCATTATTAATTTATCAAGTTTCATCAACTGGTGAGTTGGGACTGACCCCAAGGCGCTGGCCCAGTAAAGTAGGAGAGCTGACACCGGAAAAATCGCGTGGTATGCTCACCTTCGATGCACCCCCTTCACCCGCAGGCGCTATTCCCGGCGGTGAGTTTTCGCAACGTCACCCTACAGGCCACTATTTTGCTGGCTTAGTGATTTATTCAATCTGCCACTGGACAAGCATGGTGTCATGAATCCAGAAAAGATCCACTCAAGCACCTCAGATGATTTCGGAAGTTCAGACTCTGCTGTTCCTTCATTTCATAGCTTCATTCGATAGGTGGCTTAAGCTTCATTTGACTCAGCATGATGATTCTCGATGTTTCTGGCTGTCAGGTGCATTTTGGTGCTACATTGCTGAGGCTCGAGGGCACTAATAAGTGCAAGGCCAAAACCCTTTGCTCAGAGACCCAGAGTCGAAACCAGCTGCAAGTTGTGACCCTGAAGCAGCACTCCGTGACCCTGAAACAAGCTGCAGCCTAGCCCGTTGTGTAGGTCACTGCCTTTCACTTGTCACAGCTGGCTGCAAGTGCAGAAGTCGCATAGCGAGGCAGTGGCCGAGGATGGTTCCAGCTTCAAACTGTACACCTGTATTTGCCCCAAAATGTATTCGAAAGTGGGGACTTGTACCCAAAAGTACCCTCAAATTCTATGATTTTCATGCTTGATCACCATTGTCACATTGTCCCAAAAAAACTATTGGGGGATGGACAAAGCCAGCTGGATGGCTTGGCTGTCAGCTCTTGCAGGTGAAATCAGCAGTGGTTCCAAAGGATGGAAAGTACGAGGCGCGTCAAGAAATGGTGGCACCATGGAGTCACGTTGGAAATGGGACCTGGGACATCGACAAGATGGGAATCACTTCAGCAAGATCTGCAGATATATCAGATATTGGATAATAATATAGCTAGGCTATATTGAGCTTTTGAGCTAATTAGTCCATATTTATCAATATTTAATCTTGAAGAATTACTAATATTGATACTATCCCAAAATATCCCAAAGTTGGTAGCCCCAAATCCATCAGTGTAAACCTCCGCATCGATGGACAGGTCCTTCTGCCTGTGGGTTTGCCCGATGAAGGGACCTTTGACTGGGTGGATCAGTTCTTGTCCAAGAACAAGCTCGGATCCTCAAGACTGGAATTTACCCAGGGACTTGGTGGCTGGGAAAAGATTCAGTTGAAGACATACATATGGCCCATATGGCTTTAGATTTCAGCCTGAGTGCATGAAACAGTCAGTGCTTGAAGCTGTGATTGGAAATGGGATAACAGGGGCTGTCCTGTTTGAAGCGTCATGCGAGACGAAGTGATACAGCTTTACAGTAGCATTCCTGACAGTTCCACTGCCTTGTTCGATTCGTCCTATCCTTGTGTCCAATATATTTAAACTGTCTTGATACATGTTTCCACTTCGACGCTAATTGATAGTAAAAAGTGATGCTCATGGGGTACACACCATTTTACATAATTTTACTACATTATATCCATCTACTACCCTCCAGTAAATCAACATAGACCCTGGCAGATAGGGGTTGAAAGATTGGTTTCATTTGGTTTCCACTAAAAAGGCCTTATTTTCAGGGTTTATGTTAATTTACCAGGAGGTAATATCAACTTGCTTTGAAAAAAAGTCTGGTGGTTTCCCAACTGACCTGTTTTGAGATGACTCAGGAATTATACGGAGCTTAGCGATCGTGCCATCATCGATTGGGCCGTCTCGCCTCGCACGCTTGGAACAATCGTCTACATGAGATCCGCTCTAAAAATATAAATGCTTACAAGGAATTTTCAATTCGAAGGCCATAGATGATTGGGCATTGATTTTGTTTACATCTCATGAGAAGGCGGAGTCCTGTATATATGCAGTGAAATTGTTTCGTTTGCGTTAGTGTGGCGCTAGACACTTTTACATTGCCATTAAAATGAAACATTGTCAGGCCCGATGCTTTCTTTGCCTCTTGCTTTCTTGCAACTGTTGTTCCCGGTCCTGCTGGGGCAACTCCACAGTAGCCTTACTTTTGGTAATCTCTTTGAACTGCATTAACGTTTCACCTTCTTTTTGGCCAGCATCACTAACGTGACTTGTGAAGATATGTGAAAACAACTGCTTTCCAAATTTTCACGGCTAGGCTGAACGTAGTTCTGGCGGTAGATCCGCCCTAGGTCAGCGCTAGATATATACATCCCCAAAAACTACGCAGTTGCCCATTGGTCAGCTCACTGTACCTGAAAACCCAAGAGCACTGCTTGCTTCAAGTATAGCAACGTGACAGACAGCTAGCCGGCAGCAGAAACTGGGATATGGGCCATGGAGTCATGGAGTCCGCGTTGTTAGGTCAAGTAAAGAAACTATGCAGGGTATGATACTGATAGTGATTCCAGTAGCTCCAGCCCCAGCGGAAGAGTGTTCGATGTGTGTTGGAACAATTGAAGACCTCATATGGACGCGGTGCACTACAACGTACTCATAGAATCTCGTAGATGGGTGTGTCCTAAAATTAAGTATAACTCCATGGTTTCATATTATATTTCTATATATTATACATATATATATATATATAATGTATGTATGTAATGTAATGCACTGTAGTGTAGTGTGATCTAATCTAATGTAATGTAATGTATTGTATGTATGTGTATATAATATTATATATCTATACACATATATCATATGTAATATGTATACATATGTGTGTGTATATATATATATAGGGAAAATGATGAGCCACCCGTGGATTTGGGGATGATTCGGATAGCCAGACGATAGCTATAGCATCTCAATGAAGCTCCTTTCGCGACCCATGCATCATGCGGCCAGAACAAGAGTGGCCTTCAGAAGTATGGTGGCAGCTATCGGAGGAGAACTTGGCAGCCGCTGAACGGACAATGGAGGACAACGGAGGACAACGGACAACAGTCATGGCATGTGTCGCCACATATGGCCACGTTGACCAAGTGGCATAGGGTCCTATGCTTCTATGTTGCGGATGATGGGATGAGCGGAGAGCAGATGATACCAGATGTGTCCCAGATGTGACCCAGACAGATGCTTTTGTTTCCAATGTGAGCTCCAGAGGAGCTCCAATGACAAGCCCGAGATAGACTTCGGGCTCCAGTTGATGGAGGATAGGGCTTGAAAGCTGGATGCTCTTTGTGGCTGTCGGACACCGCACTTTGAGAATGATTTCATTCAGAAGGCTTGTGTAAACAGAAAAAATGCGGGTAGAACAAGGCATCGTTTGTGTTCACGATTGTTAACGGCTGTTAACGCATCGCTGTGGACTTTGTGAGGTGAACACATGTGGTCACCTGAGGTGTTGATTCATGTTGATTCAGCTAGCCATTCTCATGTTAATTATAATGCTTGGTGTAGCTGTGATCTGCAGCTTTGTTGGTGGGTTTGTGGACAAATTCCAAGCATTTCGCAGATCAAGTGCACTGAGACATTTCAGCAGGACTCGAGTGTGAGCAATGCAGGAAGCTCAACAGAAAGGTGGAACTTCGTCTCCCTCAAAGTCCGCACAAGAATAGGGCCATAGCCGCGCCAAAGCCGGGCCATAGCCATTGAGCATTTCAGAGGAATCAAAAATAATTAATTGATGTGTTTTCATATATATTTCCTGAATTTGCAAAGGTTTGCTCGAAATTCTCTACAGACAATAATTGATATAATTGATTTGTCAATGGTGTTCGCTCAGACTGCAGCAATCGTGAAATGACTGCTGCAGATCGATGCCCATGTACTCTGCAACTTAATCTCTGGCAAATTGTGTATGCCATATATGATATCATATGATATCAATATAATATATATATATTAATATACTGTTATAATCTGTTGTAGATAGAAGATAGTTGCGTAAAATATCTTCACATGTTGTTCATTTCTGGCACCTTCAGGCATCACTGACTGCATCACTATTCCATCAGATCCCAAGGTCATGAAAGCCGTAGCCAATGTGCTGCCGCGCAACTTCATCATCCCTGAGGTACTCAGATGTTTGGTGCAGGATGGGTGCATGTATGTGGGGAAAATAATAGCTAATAGTACAAAAACAGCATCGTCTATACAATCCTTGGAAATATGGTTCTATCTTTTTGGCAGTTACGATAATAAAGATACTAGTATATATATATATATCATGTGTATATTATGTATGTGATGTGTAACATTATATATATATTACATTATATTTTGTTTTATTATATACCTAGTTTTAGCTTTATTATATATAGTATACAATGATATATATATATATGTAATATACATACAATTAAATACTGTGTGGTATATCACCGAGGCTATATCACCGAGGCTATATCACCGAGCTGTCAGGTGAAAGCCAACTTGACGGCAGAGGAGCGCAGTAGCATCCTTGCACGCTTCCCGGGCCATTGCTACAAAAAGGCCTGGCCCCAGCCCAAAAATATAGGGGAAAATGGTGATTTGACTTGAAAACATAGTGATTGACCATAAACCATAGGGATTGAAGTATGAAAAATGAGAATACACTCGGGATAGAATCAGCTTGATATGATATTCAGGTTTTTGTTGGAAACGGGGTACCCCACAATCCACTCGTTAAACATGTTTTTTTTTGCAGGAAAGGTGTATGTTTGGGCTTCGATAGTGCAACAAACCCTAGACTTAGTGGGCAGTGGGATTTTTTCGGCAAGATCAATCTGACGATTTTTTCAATGGTGGAGACGATGCTAATTTGACCTATGTTTGCTGGATGCTTTATTTTCGGTGTTGGCAGGTCTTGGTTGGGTAGTAGGGTGTGGATGGAGCCCTCCCTATGCCAGCACTGCCGAAGGTAGCGAAGGTGATGCTGGGGGAGCCGCCTCAGGACTACAAGACTTTCATCCAACAGGTTGGCACCTCAACTGTCATGGAGAATGGAGTGCTGTTGACAGAAGAACCTTTTGACAGATGAGGATTTTCAGAAATCTTGATCACTGAAAAACACTGAAAAGCTGTGGGATTCAAGTTGATTCACATGAGAACTGTGCATCGCATTGTTTCCAGGGCCCCATTTGTTCCCCGCAAAGCGGGGAAAAATCAGGCCTTACTGAAAGAGAAGAAGGAAGCAGCTGAGGCAGAGTTGGCGCGTAAAAAGGCCTGGTGTATCCTGGCAGAGCTGCACCATGCTGCACCAACAAAATGGTGTGGGAATGTCATGAGCGTCATGTTCCCAAAATTCAGGGCCCCTACTGTAGACATCTGTAAACTGTGACAGATCTATTGGCAGTTCTTGAAAAGAAACAAACGCAGGGATTTGGGGTGATGCCAGTTTTCAGCCGGTGGAGTTGTAAACTCTTGGGTGTCTTGATCAGGAGGAAGCTGCGCGGAAAAAGGCGCAAGAGGAACAGAGGAAAGCGCCAGAGACTTGCAGAAGACACTGACACTCTCAGAACGGCAGTATGTTTGCAGGATTTTGCAGGTGTACAATAGATCCCAGAGGCAAGCCCATGTCCATCTATTTGCGGACCACTACTGGACCACTACTATCCGTTTGCAAATTCTCTCTTCTGGTCATTACTTGTTTGTTGGTTCAATGCCGATATGTTGTTGATCGAGTCACTTCCCCTTTTTGTTTGCTTCCATCTCCACAATGGTCAAATCCCATAGATGGGTAGATGGTGGCTCAAAATTGGATACTCCCACATTTTAGTGGCTGTAATTCCTAGATACTTCAAACAGTTGCCCGAAGTTTACCCTGAGGCGCCAGAAGAAGGAGGAGGCAGCCAAGGCCATGGTCACGGTTGAGTTTCACGTTTTTTTGAACATCACAAGATAGTTTTAAAAACATGTGATTATATACAACATATGATATAATGTATATATATATATATTATTATATATTTATATTATATATATATATATTTATGTATGTATATATGCATGATAATACATATATGTATATGTACATACTATGTGTATATATATATATATTATAATAATATATCATTATATTACATATATACATCTATGACGATATATAATGTATATTACACGTGTACTGTATGTGTGTACATATATATATATATACATACAAGTTTGATTCGTTTGGTTATGTCCGCCTATTACTGTAGGAACTATTAGGTGTGTGACAAGTCGTTCAAAGTGGGGCGGGCGCTGCTCTATACTCAACTCACGTTGGATGATTTGTCCTGCAGACTACAAGGCTTCTTCCCATACCCGCAGGTTGTTTGGCAGATGGCCCGTTATCAGCAAAAATGTACTCAAGTGTGACACACTTTAAGCAAGGAGACAACGTGTTTGTGATTTGTGAGCTGCTGCGAAAATGCCACTTGAACTTGTTCAAATGATTCTGATAATCCCAGTATACGAAGTGACGAAGTGTATTTTCCCAGCCCCCAGCTCTGACATGGGTAGCATAGGTACCCCCACAACGCCTTGACACAGGCTGAAGGAAAGGAAGGGGAGAAGGACTGGGAAGCGTGGTTGGTCAATTTCCCATTTGGGGAATTCAAATATAAACTTCAAATGGTTGTTAAAGATGATACCTCCTATGAGTTTAGTGATGTTCAAATGGGACATTTCGCCACCCCTGTTGTGTTCCTGAGATTTTGCAGCCCCTACAGAGAGCTTCTTGTTGTAGCTTCAGGAGAAAGATGAAGCAGGCAGATGTGGAATGCATTGGAAGTGGTGGATAGAATCCTTTGGGCGTTGTTTGAGCGTTATTTCATGGACATGTGGTGATCATCTTAGATGTGATCATCGCTCAGGTCCTGATTATTTGTTCTTTTCATGGTTTAATCACTAGTGTTTCAGTTGTAAAATCCATGAGCACCCATTAAAAAAGAGTGTTGTTTCTCAGGTGTAGAATCCATGGTGAGTTGAAATCCATTGAAATCCATGAAAAGCCGTTATTTTTTGGAGTGTGTTAAACAAAACAACTGTGTTTTCCTGTGGGGAAAAGAAAGCCTTCCATAGCCCCAGGTGAAGCAGAAGGGGATGCGGCAGAGGAGCTGTACATGGTGGAGACAGTTCCCCTTCTTGTTTCTGATCAGAGAAACATGGAAAACCATCCACACATGGGAAAATATATATATATATATGGATACAACTGATACAACATTGATATTTATAGAAACGGATTCAAATTGGATCAAATTTAATGGATGATTTTCATTGAATCTTGCCATTTTGTGGTCTACTGTACCTCTGTTTTTGGATAAACCCAAATATGGGCTCCAGGGTGAAGGTACCGTTTGCCCTATTTGCAGTTTAGCAGTGAAGCAAACTATCATAGTGGCATTCTTCCCAGAAGCTTTTCCTGATGAAAAGCCCGCGGATGTATCCACAGAAAAGTTGAGTGGCTGATGGTTTCACACCAACTTCAGACATTAATGTGGTTAAAGCAATGACCATACCCAAAATCAGCATAAGTGGGTGGTATAAACATGTAGTATGAAAATATTGGGTGATGTCTTCCCTTCCCAAAGAAATGCTGATGCTTTCGTCCCAAAAGAATGGGACGAAAATCGCCAATCACAACCACCAGGAGGAAGTCGTCGAGGAAGAGGCTGGACAGCTCATGGCGCCAGTGGGAAATGCGAAAAGAACGGGACCTGCTGAAAGTATTTTGCAAGAGTGTGTTATGTGGTTTGGTTTTTCCATGTTTTTCCAATCTTCAGTTTTGAAACAAACGGAGCCACTTAGATGTTGATTTTTAAATGTTGATCCATATAGTCTCTGTACATCCCATGTGTATTTTTGGGAAGCCCTGCCAGGTGAAGGTCGAACTGACCGCGGAGGAGAAGAAGTCTGAGGCCTAAGTGCTCTCAGCGATGAACATCAACTGCTTAAGGATGATTCCTAGCTACTGATGAAAGCCAATTGGCTACTATGAATTCATCAGGTTTATGTAGATGTACGAAACCTTATGAATTAATATGAACTAACATGAATTAACATGAATTAACATGAATTAACTGAACGTTTTGGTCTTTCTTTGATTCCCAGCGGGTAAGTTTACAAAAAGTTTACTCGCCTCACCGAGGCTGTGGTTCAGACCCAAAGAGGTGCCAGATCTGACCTCCAAGGACGATCCAATGGGGATCTTCCCATGGCATGGCGGTCAAAATATGTCAAAATATGTCAACCCAAGGAACTACTCATGGACTGGTTATTTTCACTACATGAAAACCTGATCTGTTCTTGGGTAGTAAGTGTTGAAATTGTTGAAAGTTTCATATCCAAATACCATTAAAAACCCAAGTACTTGTGAAGAGAACCGGCCTTCGGACCTTTATCCTTCGCAATTTTCCAGTGTTGCAACCATGATAAATTGTATGGTGAAGATGTCTTAGAACTCAGGATGGCAGACTGTGTGTGTGTGTTGTCTGATACTTTGCCGCAGGAGATGTCATCATCATACCAAAAGTTCACATTGCCGAGCAAGGAGGAAGGCCCTTTCGTCACCATTGCCAGTCCCTGTTGTTGGACGAAAATCCGGAACCTCCCAGATGATTCATCCAAGTATCATCCAAGACCTAAGGCCCCATCGTGGCCCTTTGTCAGGCTATGACGAGCTCACCTTCATGTGGTACAAAGAAGCCCAAAGCAAGGAGTACTTGAAGAAATGGGTGCCTGGGTAGAGATTCAAGCGATGATCCATCCATATCCATCCATATCCATCCATTTTCAGCTCGTTCTTTTATCTTCTTGTTGGATGTTGGCGTTTGATCTGCATCATTCTGCATCAACGAGTGGCGTACATGGCATGCTCAAACGAAAAGTGAGGTGCTGGAACGAAAAATGACTCAACGAGTCGAAGACCTCCAGCCCTTTGGCTGCGCTACGCAGACAATTTTATGGCTTGTTTTGAGTGAAGGCTTGATTCGGGTATGATATGGTGATATTATATATAATATATACTATTATATGTATATATCTAGAGATTGATATATACCCTCCGGTAAATTAACATAGACCCTGGCAGATAAGGGTTGGAAGAGTTGTTTCTGCTAAAAAAAAATGCTTATTTTTAGGGTCTATGTTAATTTACCAGAGGGTATATATTGATATTTATATATATAATATATACATATATATATATATTGACATATATATAAATATATAAATAAATATATATATATATATTATGTATTTGTGTATGTATATTACTTTCATATATATATATAGAATATAATACTGATAGATATGGTGTAGGCTTATACCCAAATTCATCCAAAATCCAGCGGATCCAGCGCTTGATCATGATTTATCCTCTTAATCACTGCAAATTTGGCATACCGTTTCAGCTTGGGAATGATTATTCTAAGTCTATTGGCTGTCACTTGTCAGGTGTTATGACAACTGGGTAGATCTTGTGTGTGTGTGCATGTTGGTTGAACTTTTGCTTAAAGATCTGATATGTGGTTGTTCTGAAGCTTGTATTGTGATCATGACTCACGTGAGTCAATGTGTAAGATCGTGTAAGACCTTTTGTCAGTGGGATTCTTTAAGTTGTCTTCGTCACGTATATATATATATATGTATATATATATGAATATGATGATGATGATGATGATGATGATGGTGATGGTGATGGTGATGATGGTGATGATGGTGATGATGGTGATGATGGTGATGATGGTGATGATGGTGATGACGATGGTGATCATGATCATGATCATGATCATGATCATGATGATGATGATGATGATGATGATGATGAGTAGTTTTGTCATTGATTTTGCTGATGAACTATGATGAGCTCTCAGCATCTACAGTATTGGTTCTATTCGCAGGACTGCTCTGCGGGACTGCTCTGTACTGTTCCTCCACTCTCCGGTCGGCACTCGTCCCTTCCAAGGCCCTCGGAATGGTTCCGAAGCAAATACAGCGAGTGGAACAAGGTAGTCCAGCTGTGGCAACTTGGCGCCGGGTTTCGCTGTGGAAAATCACAGATGGGTCTGTTTGAAAATTGTGGCATAATTGTCCACAAAATGCCAATTGTCCAAGGAAAAACCATGATTATCCAACCTGTAGATTTATGTAGATTTAAGGGTACCCCATTTTCAGAAATTCCCGAGCGTAGAAGAGCCTGTGAGTTTTTGAGGAAAAAGAAGCAGAGCGATTCCAAGGAGAGTTGTGAGAACGTGGTGCTTGGGAATGGCCATCCCCGCAATAATACGGATTGATAAAAAGTTCCTTATGATTTCTTCATTATGAGGAATTGTATGCAAATCCAACTTTGAAGGTGCCTTTCGAGACCATGTTGTGTCCAAAACGAGAATTTGGAAGTAGATTGTGTTGCCATGTGTTGCCTCTCAGAGGCATAGCGGCATAGCGATTTTCAGAACCTGGATCATGGACCCAAATCCAAAAAGAGGCTTTGGTTGCAATCCCAGCCGAGCTATGGATATCCATGGTCACCATTGGTCACCATTGGTCACCTATGAATGGCGGCATCCAATGGCATGGTGGTGTTGTGAATTCGGGCGTGACCACGGAATCCAATATCATCCACGGAATTTGTCATGTTGTCGAAACCAATGGTTGGAAGGGGTGCTCAATGATTGATTACGCCGGGTAACTTTAACGTGGCTAAAAAAAAATTAAAAAAAATCACGGACCATGTTAACATACCAAAAAAACACTGTCTCCGGTGCTTCGTTAACATGAAATAAGGAGGAAAGACAAGTCTGATTTTGCTTTTGTTGTTCTCATTTTTTTTTCAGTCGTTCCCCAGGAATCCCCAAGAACCTTAAGGTTTTGGAAGGAAATTTAAATTAACATAGCACTTTTCGAATTTTGGCCATTGAACAGTATGAATTCATGGGGAATTGAAAGAGGCAAACAGGTCGTCATTAAGGAACTTTAACATGTCCTACCTGCAGCACTCTTTTTTGTGCTCAAAGTTGGGCCTTGCTCAGTCTGGATTCAGCACCAAAAGTGCACAAATCGAGCATTTTATATAAAGAGTTTAATAAAGAAAAAATATCATGTGAAAATACTGATTTGGGATCCATGCCGCTTTGTTCTTTTGGGAAAAGAAATCTTCCTGGGAAGTATGGGGAACTCCAGAAACAAACCAAAGGTTTTACCATGGATATCCTGATATTTTAACATGGCCCACCAGTCCATGATTTGGTGATTCATCTTTTCACCTGTTGGTCATCCACGGCTAAAAAAACAACCACCAAAGGGCCCAAGTCTGGATTCAGCACCAAAAGTGCACAAATCGAGCATTTTATATAAAGAGTTTAATAAAGAAAAAATATCATGTGAAAATACTGATTTGGGATCCATGCCGCTTTGTTCTTTTGGGAAAAGAAATCTTCCTGGGAAGTATGGGGAACCTCAGAAACAAACCAAAGGTTTTACCATGGATAGCCTGATATTTTAACATGGCCCACCAGTCCATGATTTGGTGATTCATCTTTTCACCTGTTGGTCATCCACGGCCAAAAAAACAACCACCAAAGGGCCCAAGTCTGGATTCAGCACCAAAAGTGCACAAATCGAGCATTTTATATAAAAGAGTTTAATAAAGAAAAAATATCATGTGAAAATACTGATTTGGGATCCATGCCGCTTTGTTCTTTTGGGAAAAGAAATCTTCCTGGGAAGTATGGGGAACCTCAGAAACAAACCAAAGGTTTTACCATGGATAGCCTGATATTTTAACATGGCCCACCGGTCCATGATTTGGTGATTCATCTTTTCACCTGTTGGTCACCCACCGGTAAAAAAACAACCACCAAAGGGTCCAAGTCTGGATTCAGCACCAAAAGTGCACAAATCGAGCATTTTATATAAAGAGTTTAATAAAGAAAAAATATCATGTGAAAATACTGATTTGGGATCCATGCCGCTTTGTTCTTTTGGGAAAAGAAATCTTCCTGGGAAGCATGGGGAACCTCAGAAACAAACCAAAGGTTTTACCATGGATAGCCTGATATTTTAACATGGCCCACCGGTCCATGATTTGGTGATTCATCTTTTCACCTGTTGGTCACCCACCGGTAAAAAAACAACCACCAAAGGGTCCAAGTCTGGATTCAGCACCAAAAGTGCACAAATCGAGCATTTTATATAAAGAGTTTAATAAAGAAAAAATATCATGTGAAAATACTGATTTGGGATCCATGCCGCTTTGTTCTTTTGGGAAAAGAAATCTTCCTGGGAAGTATGGGGAACCTCAGAAACAAACCAAAGGTTTTACCATGGATAGCCTGATATTTTAACATGGCCCACCGGTCCATGATTTGGTGATTCATCCTTTCACCTGTTGGTCACCCACCGGTAAAAAAACAACCACCAAAGGGTCCAAGTCTGGATTCAGCACCAAAAGTGCACAAATCGAGCATTTTATATAAAGAGTTTAATAAAGAAAAAATATCATGTGAAAATACTGATTTGGGATCCATGCCGCTTTGTTCTTTTGGGAAAAGAAATCTTCCTGGGAAGTATGGGGAACCTCAGAAACAAACCAAAGGTTTTACCATGGATAGCCTGATATTTTAACATGGCCCACCGGTCCATGATTTGGTGATTCATCTTTTCACCTGTTGGTCACCCACCGGTAAAAAAACAACCACCAAAGGGTCCAAGTCTGGATTCAGCACCAAAAGTGCACCACCAAGTCTGGGGTTGGGGTGGGATAGGGCATGTTAACGTTTCATGTAACTTGCATGCGTTGTGGATGCTACGCAGCCCTGGGGTTGGGGTGGGGTGAGGCATGTTAACGTTCCATGTTAAAATTGCTCTAGTTTACACTCTTTTTGTGTTTCACTGCTCAAGTTTAACCTGGAATAGTATTACATGTTTCATGTTAAAGTCAAGGGTGTCTTCGGCTGAGTGGATCGTAGAAGATGGTAGGTCGGCCACTTGCGCAAAACCCGGAAAGGGGAGTACGGGAAGAAAAAAAGGCGCGGCACTTTAACATGGAACCTGTGGGACACACTCACTGTTTGCTTTTTTTAGGCCATGTTAATGTGAAATCAGGTTTTTTGGATTGTTCATGTTTAATTGATGTGGTCTGGAAAGGCCTGCCCAGGTGTCAGGTTAAGGTGAGTTGGATAGGATGTTGGCAGCTTTCAGCATCATCCAGTATATATGACTTCCCCAGGAGTCTTCGATGAACGGGGGCTATGTTAATATCTTGGATTTTTGTCCTCCGGTGCTACGTTAAGCCTGCCCGGCGTACTAGTAAAGTAACATCAGTAACTGTGTATTATATTATTGCTGATATCATTTTCCATTTAAAAAATCGCAGGACCCGCATCACCGGAAAGCTTGGGCAGCGAGGAAGGCTGCTGAGGAGCGGGGAGAGATAGCACTTTGATCCCGGTGCTCTTTTGGATTCTGTTAAAAGAGAATTGTAGGTATGTTATGCATATAAATAATATATTATATATATATGTGTGTGTAATAATATATATATGTGTATGTCTCTGTATATGTATTTGTATATGTATCTGTATATGTATCTGTATATATATATATCTATATGTATCTCTACATGTATACGTATGTATATGTATACGTATGTATATGTATACGTATGTATATGTATTCTTATATATGTTGGCAAATATATATATATACATACATAATCAGCATAGCGACTGAACATAATAAGCATGATAGCTAGTAACCATAATAATAGTGATAAGAAATGATAAGAATATACATATGTATATATATATATATATGTGTATGTATATATATATGTATGCAAAGCTATTTTCAACCCAAACGAGGAGGGTGCCCCACCGGTTATGGGATATAAGCCAGCAGATATTAGATTATATTAGATTGTTGCAAACTGCAAATATGGGTACAGTATTTGAGCCCCCCCGGGAGTTCGGGCAAGTCCAGGTGTTTGTTATTTTCAGGGGTAAACCGGTAAACCATCTCGTTTTGTGGGTATCCATTTTCCAACCCTGGAACCAACTGATGATGAGTTGTCATCCATATTTCAAAGCCATTTATCACTCTGGGGGGACTCTCCTGATTTCTTTTAATTCACCGTCTCTAGATTGTGTTCCCGACGGGAAAATGGGCCTGCAGCCCATTCCTACTTCCTACGTCCTAGACCGCAATGGCAGTTACCGTAGGTAGATAACAACCCAGTAATACAGATACTGTAGATATTATAGGTGGGTAGTGTACGTCATAAAACTTGGTGCTAGATATGACCCCAGCAACCAATGCTTGAGAGCACATCCACCAGTCACTTCTGGCCTCTCAGCTGACTTCTGCCATGTGCTGATGTGGAGAGGAGAAAGCCAAAAAGGGCGACGAAGTTAAGGAGGACAAGGAGGACCAGAAGGAGGACAGCTGGATGAAAATACTCAGCTGACCATCCAAAAACTATTTCAACATTTAGAGCTATGCATCATGGGCTGAAAACAAATCCACGATGACCTAAGTATGTATTCAGAATACACACCAGAGACCCTTCGTAGGTGTTTTCCGCATGTTGCAACTGCAGGAGAATGGCAAGGATGAAGAGATGAAGGAGGTCCTTCGCCACAATATCTTGGCAATTTTGTGAGTGAAACGTTTGGGCCTTCAGTGTGTTTGGCATGTCATGGGCACGAGTCATGAGTCATGAGTCGTCATCCTGATCATTGTCGTTGTCGTCATCATTATCATCATCAACAACGTCACCAAGTCATCAACGTCATCACCACAATCATGGCAAGTTCCCCTTTGTCCACATCATCCTTATCTTGTCAGATTCATATGGTTCATTGTTGTAACATGATGTAACCATCTTTGATCTCCTCATGTTCCTCCTTTGATTGTCTTGGAACATACCATGCCACAGTAGTGCAGCGCATCGTCTTAGGAGAAGGAAGTGAAGCCTGAGGAGGCCGAGGAAAAAAACGGTGAAAAACCTGAAGCAGCAGAGGCTGTGGGGAACACTGCAGGGAATGCTGGTGTGCCAGTTCATTTCCACTGTACTGACGGTCGGTTTGGATTGGTTTGACAGATGGTGTCAAAGGCTTTCAGCTAATGTCGTTGTATGGCTCCTAGCCCTAGCAAATTGCTGTCCTGAAAATTAAAGGAGGTGCCGAGCAATTCAAAATGGAAAGGTTCACGCTACCAAAGCAGTGGCAAGCCATAGGGCGTCCTCAGTATATTCCTCAGTCATGGCATACTAATGTCGAGTTGGGATTTATAATACACCCTTATTGGTAAAGCCTATGTTTTCCAAGATTTTTCAGATATATTTATATAGCTTCATTTGCTCAGGAAGAGCCAGAGATGAAAATTGATGTGTGGAACCCGGTGATGCCATCGTCCGATCGTCCAGTTGGGTACCGACCCAAATGTGGTGGTGATCGGTGGTGATCATCATGCACCAATAAAGAATTATGTAGATGTTGATGTTTTTTTGCCCATTTTCGGACAGACTCATGTGATGCGCTAGTGCTGCTTAGTTATATTATACTAATACAATTATGTATATATATATATCCCATCACCCTTACGTTGGCGAGTTAGTTATACCCCATTTCTGTTGGTTCACTACCACTTGCTCCCAGAATAATATCATATTGAGCAAGCGAGAAAATTATTGGAAGACAAAACGCAGCCCAGGCGGAGTCTTTGGATCCTTTTGCCGTGGAGGCGCTGCAATTATTTACAGATGTTTAACCATACAAGTGTTTGATTATAATGATTGATATAATTATATATATTATATTATATTATATTATATTAAATTATATTATATTGTATTATATTATATTATATTGTATTATATTATATGTACATATATATATAATATATGCATATTATGTATGTGCACGATTATATTATACATCAAGAAGAAAAATGAAGAATGTTCTGGACTATGGGAAATCCATGGAAATCCATGGAAATCCGTGGCTCGGACTGCGGGATCCATTGAGGCGGCTCTGGTGTTTATTCACAGCGTTATATTGGTCACCCATGATATGGGAAACCCTGCGTTTCCATGGGAAGATATTCTGTGCACGGTTTTTTTTTTCGGTGTTTTATAGGATCTATGAAATCATGAACTATCTATAATATATATATATGTGATATCAAAAGAGCTAGGATACTTTCTAGCCAGTCAGGTTAGAGTACGGATGAACCACTTACCAGGATGTGATGGACATCGGCAGCGGCGAACCCTTGTTTTTCAACTTCGCGTTCGAGGACTCATTCAATTCCGTCCCACCACGGTAGAACAATTGTTTCTTCGTTAATTGTCACAGGGTTTGTGGGCGAATTGACGATTTGGCCCCTGCATTAAGAAAAAAGTTGATCAATGTTGATCATATGGTACCTAAACTATTCAGTATCTATGTGTTTCATTTACCCTCTGGTAAACTAACATAACTATGGAAAATCACCATTTTTAATGGGAAAACTCACTATAAATGGCAATTTTCAATAGCTACGTTAGTTTACCAGAGGGTAGAGTTTTCTCACAAGGAAAGCATTCCCGCAGACCCGAAGGATTGGACCCTACTGAGTTTGCGGTTTGAGCCGGGCAGACCCAGCAGACCCAGTTCCAGAAGAACAGTTGCCGATGTTGGCCGATGTTTGCCCATGAGTTTTTTTTTGGAGGTTCCCAAGTTTTCCCAAGATTGTAGTCTCAACAAAAATGTGTCGAAACACGGTGATTATCACTCCATCACTGATTTATCTGATTTCGTTTTGGAGGACGACTGTACAACCAACAGTTCACCCTTTTGGTTTCTGTCCGTGGTAGTTCCAGGGCTTTATGCAGGAGATTAGCACTATGGGTTGATGCTGGGGACCTCCCGGCAAAGTGGAACCTTCCGCAGCCGAAATTGTCATGTCGGTTCATCAATATACCAGAAATCCCAGAAAAGGTTGACTCAACAAAAGAATATCATCCCAAAAATCCGAAAATGCCTGTGAACATGTCAATATCTCGTCCGAATGATGCTAAATGGTTGAGGGCAGGTTCTCAAACATTGGAAGTCTCAGGAATGTGTTTTGGTTCATGTCGATTCACATCGACACACTTTGGCTCCAATGCAAGGCTGCATTTGCTATGTCATGCCTTCCGTCACGATTTGGACTGCCGGATGGCTTTCAAATCTCAGTAGGTATCCTTCAAAGTTTACAGTTTTGATGATTCGTAAGGTGTATAAAGCCAGATACTTGGATTTCATGTTCGCAGGTTTGCCCCAATTGCAAGAGTGGGGCAGGAAAAGTCGATGCTGACCGACTTGTTGCAGCTGGATGGGACAAATCTGTAGCTGTAAAAGTGATGCCACTTTGCATCCGCGGCTGCCCTGGCGACTTCGTTGGAGAGGACGATCCAGAAAGACCGACCTTCAAAGAGAATCATTTGGCCTTCTACTTCAATAAGTGCGCCAAGTGTGAAGCATTCTAAAGCCGTGAGCACGACACTAGACTCACTAGAAGTAGCAGTTGAGCCAAGGTGCTGAGGGCTGCCTCAAGAGGGGCTTGTTCGGACTGTTGCTTTTTGGTATCCCATTATATCCCATTGAGTCCCATTCTATCAGCATATTTGCCAGTTCAGTCCTCTTTGTTGACAGCACAAATCACAATTTTTCTCAGTTCAATCCACCATTGTTGCAGATTTTTACCACCCAAAATCCCATAAAATCCCCCTATGTTGGATGGTAAATCATCATCTGTAGGTACTTCAGGAGGCCACTGAGCCTGAAAAACTTTGGTGTGGACTCGGTGGCTGAAGTGCTGGACCTTATCAAGGATACAGCCTCCTGGCTGAGAGATGGCTGGAGCAAATTGGTGATATCATGGCTATTTGTTTAAGTGGATACGATGGGAACTTCCTATGCGATATCCACTTGGCTTTGTCTGGAAATGGGGATTCTTTTACAAAAAATGATTCAACCCGTTAAACAATGGCGTGTATCGGAGGGAAAATGATGATATCATTGGGCTTTGGGGTACCATGTTTTCGGACACCCATGATACTGCATTGATTTGTGATGGTGATGGATGCATGTCGCACTCGGTTTGTCATAGATGCTTCATCGAGAATGGTTTATCCAGGTTCATCCCATTTTCAATCCATGCAGAGTCAATTCAGATTTCAGGGGGGTGGTAAGGCTTCTTTTTGGATTTTTGGATCGTTTTGGTGGCTTTATATAAAGTGATTTAAATGTGAGCTTAAGAATCCTTAGCTATCGGTTGTTGTTGGAGATCCTTCAACTAGAGAAGTTGAAGAATCCCAATCTCTATGTTTTTTTCAAGGTGTAGTCCAACTAGTTCCCCTTTTTCATCCTTTTTCAGTGAATATCAGGTAGTTTCAAAATGTGTCAAATACATAGGTATTATTAGATATTGCTTCTCCTCATTTCAGGTTGTGTTGTCCCATGTTGTCCCATAAATGACCATGGTTTGACAATGGGTACCGGGCCATTGCAGGTGGAACTTAGTCAGTTCAAGTCGCTGGAGCCGCAGCTCTCGGACGATTCTCCGCTGGAGAACTTTGTTCGTCTCACAGAGGACCCAGGGGGGACCCAGGGGGGACCCAGGGGTAACTGGGGTCCCAGAAAAGCCATGAAAATCCATGAAAAATGGCTAGGTGAAAAAGGAAAAATCTGGAAAGGTCAGGAAAAAATTGTTGGCTTTTGGATCCAAAAGACTGCTCTTTTTTTATGATCTTTAGTGGTTTTCGTACAACTATTACCTTGACAAAAGCAATTCGCAGAATCAAACAATAGGAGACTGAAGCCATCTAAGCCATGGAAATGGGGATGTACTAGTTACTTACTGATGAACCACCAAAAGACGCAAGATGGCAAGGCCACTCATAGAGACTTGGGGAAGGCAAAGAAATCCGTCAACCGTCAGGGTTTCGGTATGTTCCTTTCTTTGGACGTTTTTGGATAATCAAAATCGATGAGCACTTCGCAGAGTTGTCCCACGCCACAAGGATGCGCGAAGGGATCGGCATTTGCGCATTGATTCCGGGGATGTGGGGCAGCTCAGAGCACCTTCGGGTCTGAAAGTGCTGAAATTGGGCGCACATGTCCATACATTTCCATACATTTCGGAGGAGGCAATGCTCAAGATTCACATTTAAAGTGGCTGTCCAGGTCTGATGTACATGATTTACCCATATTTACCCTGCCAAAAATGGTGAAATTCTTAGATCATCAGTCATTGCCCGGCCAGTTGGATCATGTTGGATCCATTGGTCCCCACGGGCAGTTCCGTTGTTCCCACGATCTTCACGGCAGGAGACGGCACTTTTGAAGTTCCAGAGAAATGCTAGCCATGTACAGAACTGAGCGTCAGGCCTCTGGTGCCGCCTTGGATGGTTTCATTGGGGATTTGGGATTTGGGGACATGGACCCATGATAATCTAAGCCTCTAAGCTCCAGCTTTATTCTTGAAAGGAGAGAAGCCAATGGGTTTGGGTGGTCCGGGCTTTGAGGGCAGGAAGGTGCCCCATGCTGAGGCAGCAGCGAACTTCGGCAAGGGAGCACGGGAACTTGGTTCTCGTGTGTGGGCGTGTCCTTTCATGTCGCTTCTTACACCAAAATGGATTCAAATGGCAAAGTGACCAAGAGTTTTACATGTACAGACAGGAAATTTGGATCAAATGTGAAGCTCTGGGAAGATATCAGAGCAAGAAGTTCCGTCCCACGGGTTCGCTTCACCAGAATTCAATCCAGTCTCTTCATGCAGGGGCCGGGCAAAGGAGTCAGGAACTCAAAAGCATGGCGGGTCAGCTGGCTATGGGTTCTCTTGACGTTTTCATACTTTTTCCAAAGAAACCACAAGCGGGTTGAAAGACCCAGACTGGAGGTGTATTCAAGATGTTTCCTTATGGCCCCCACTTTTGAATTTCCATACCTTTCTTCTTGCAGTTGGCGGCACCGAGGCAGCATCCTTCCGTCAGCCACCGCCCGGGCCGGGATGGGCAGGGAGTGTTGAGCTAGGTGATGCTAGGTGTTTTGGCTTGTTTGTACTACTTGAACTTGATAGAACTTGTAGATTGGATTGGCTTGTAGTGTGACATGGTCGGACATGGCCCTCTTCTTGATGTTTTTCTGCTGAAGTTGGACATTTCACCCATTACGATGTTTGATCATTGGAGGATATGTTTGATGCTGAACTGCGAGTAATCTCCGGACATGCAGCATACTGTGATGAGATCCTACACATAGACATTTGCCCTCCGGTAGTCAAACATAGCAATGGAAAAGTCCCAATTTATATATAGATTATTTTTCTCTTGAAACTCTCATTTGTTCAGAGGATTGTCCATTGCCACGTTTGATTATCGGAGGGGAGGGTATCTCAATAATTATCCATACCATTCTATGCCCACATTGCGACAGCGCACAATTCCAGTTTGACTTGCCCATGCTCAGGGGTCGTCCTGGCTTCGGCTATGGTGCAGGAGAAGCAGAACCGGAAATCATTGTATCATTGAATGGTGTTTGATGATGCCAAAAGGATAAAAGGCTTAGTTGATTCATGTTGATTCAACATGTTTAATATTGTTGAATGGTGCCTTCCGCCAAATTGTGTGCTCCCCCATCAAACCTAATCTACCCTCGCCAGATCAACTGCCTCCTCGACAGGTTTTGATGTGAATTCCCCTGAAACTGTGTGCGATGTTGCAAGGGAACATGTACAGGAATACGAACACCTATTTTGGGGATCTGAAGAACCATGGTGTTTTCTATTTGATTCATGTCTTCCTTCAAGCCTGTGAGAGCCAGATGTTCCTCTAGCATCCTCCGCCTTTCTCTCCTTGGTGGGTTGAAAACATGTTTCAAATTATATATATATATAATGAAACTATAATATATATATATGCATGCAAATCTATATATATATATATGTATATATATATATATGTGTGATATATATCATATGATATATATATATTATGATATATATCACATATATACATATGATATATATGTTTTTTTCAAACATGATGTATGATCTTTATATGTGTTTTAGACGTTTTTTTAAGAATGAAGGATATTGATCCACGACGTCTCACATTTTCAGGACGGCCGCAGCCCGTGGCACCTCAGATGGCGGCCGCCAATCGACCTGCTCCTCCTCGTCAGAGCTATGCGCAGCCTGGAAAACCCAGTGGCTGTCAGTGGTTTTTTCCGTGAGTTTTCCTTCAAAAAATGGTGGACATATATATATATATTGTTGCAGGTATTATATATGATGTATGTATATATGATGTACACAACTATGTATTATGTATTATGTATATGTATATGTATATATAGTTTCCATTGTTGCACACAATTATTTAATATTATATATTATATATGTATATATGTACGTGTATATACTGTATATATATATGTAATATAGTGTGTATATATATATATATAAGTTTATATACAGGTATATACGTATATAACTATATGATAATATATGTCAGAATCAGAGCTATGACACGCCTAACCGAGGAAATGTGTGTGGTTTAGGCAACAGCTATCACGCACCTCTTTGGTGTTCTCCATATTACAGTACTCCATATCTTTTTGAAGTTTAGATATCCATTGTAACTATTGAAATAGAGGTATGACTAGGTTTGCAATTTTGGGGTCCACTGACATAGCGGTTTGTCTGAAAAGTGGCTATCCAAAAACCACTCGTTGATCATCATGTTCCCTACTAAAACTGCAAGGGCGGAATACAAAATGTTCAGACACATCCAAATGGATATCCCTAATTGTGTATCCCCATTATATCCCAATTTTTCCCAGTGAAATCCCCATGTTGGATGGATATTGCCTAATTATTAGCATCTCCATTATCGTTGGTTTTAAGCCCCCAAACAAACTTCGTTCTACAAATGCCAAGGAAGAGGCCCATGCCAGCGCCGGCACCGAGCAACTTCCCAGCAAAGTCTCAGAGGCGCCGCGCCTGAAATTTTCGTGACGTGGGGATGGGTCAAAAATGATGGGACAGATTTTTGTCGTCATGTTTAGTACTACCCTCTGGTTATGACTAACATAGCCATGGTATAGATGGCCCTAATCGAAATAGATGCTTTACCTATTAATAGCATGGTGATTTTCCATGGCGAACTGTTAGTCAAATATGACTACCAGATGGTAATATGTTTAGATATGTTTAGATATGTTTAGATATGTTTAGTATTAATATGTAGTAATCATCTAATTACTGGGGTACCCAATTTCGACCCATAGCCACAATGTTCGGCCATCGGATGAGTTCGGAATCTCCAGAAGTCTCCAAGTCCAAAGATGGAACCATGCAGCGGCTTGGAACCATGGCTTTTTTTTAGTTCCATGATTTACCCTCCGGTAATTTGACATAGCTGAAAAATCATAATGTTGAAGTAAATCATCTATAAATGGCTTAACTTAAGCACCAGTAGCTCAC